GAGCAGTGGTTTGTAGTTCTTCTTGAAGAGGGCCTTCACATCCTTTGTTAGTTGTATTCCTAGGTATTGTATTCTCTTTGTGGCAGTTGTGAATGGGAGTTCACTCATGATTTGGCTCTCTGTTTGTTATTGGTATATAGGAATGCTTATGATTTTTGAACATTGATTTTTGTATCCTGAGACTTTGCTGAAGTTGCTTATCAGCTTAAGGAGATTTTGGGCTGAGACGATGGGGTCTTCTGAATATACAATAATGTCATCTGCAAATAGAGACAATTTTACTTCCTCTTTATCTATTGGAATACGCTTTATTTCTTTTTCTATCTTGATTGCCCTGGCCAGAACTTCCAATACTATGTTGAATAGGAATGGTGAGAGAGGGCATCCTTGTCTTGTGCCAGTTTTCAAAGGGAATGCTTCCAGTCTTTGCCCATTCAGTATGATATTGGCTGTGGGTTTGTCATAAATAGCTCTTATTATTTTGAGATAAGTTCCATTAATACCTAGTTTATTGAGAGTTTTTAGCATGAAGCATTGTTGAATTTTGTCGAAGGTCTTCTCTGCATCTGTTGAGATAATTGTGTGGTTTTTGTCTTTGATTCTGTTTATGTGATGGATTACATTTATTGATTTGTATATGTTGAATCAGCCTTACATCCCAGGGATGAAGCTGACTTGATCATGATGGATAAGCATCTTGATGTGCTTTTGGATTCGGTTAGCCAGTATTTTATTGAAGATTTTCACATCGATGTTTATCAGGGCTGTTGGCCTGAAATTTTCTTTTTTGGTTGTGTCTTTGCCAGGTTTATTTTATATTTAATATATGATTATTTGTTTTTATAGGCCATTTCATAGCTAAATATAAGAATTTATGCCTATTTCTAAATATTCTATATTCTTGGCATTTTACATGAAGGACTTTTTTCAGTTTATGCAGATACCCCTGTCATGCACTTGCTAAGAATATAAGAAAGTATAAGACATAGTGGTGAAGAGTGAGGCTTTCAGTCTACACAGACCCAGGTTCAGCCCTGTCTTTGCCATTCAGGAGCTCTGTGGCCTTGGCTGTGATGTTACCTACTCTGCACTACCTCATCGATAATAGTCAATGATAATGCTTTCCTTAGGGGGAATTAGGAGGACTCATGAGATCTTTATAAAATAATATGACTCGTTTTCAGGCATATTATAGGTACTTGACAAAGTGATAGCTACTTTGGAGGAGTCAGGTGAGAAATTAAAGGAAGTCTATATATAATTTCATGTTTTGTGGTAGTTTCAGTCTGTTCTATTATGTTGAGAATGAAAGTATGTCTCAATATGAACTTAAATAATTTGAAAATAGTGTTACATGTATTTACAAATATTACAACTGTAAGTGTGGTTGGTTTTGAGTTATGTGTAAGTTATTGATCCACATTGCTTTAAACTTTCAAAACAATTACTTTTTCTGCATATCATTACTGATTTCATTTTTTGGTTTGTTTGTTTGTACCTGCTGGAGAAACTAAACCATCTCTTCAGACCATTCCAGAATAGTTGTGGGGCACATAAAGGTTCAGACAGAGAAGTCAGCTCTGCCTCATGTGGAAGTAATACTTTTCATCAAGGATGAATTGAGCAAGATAGGGAAATGTACCACCTAGCACCTGGGCCACTCACAGAAACCCTGTAGATAGAGTAAGCAGTAGTCTTTATTTTATAAATGGATAAATAAAGTTTCAGTGAAGTTGGGCAGCTTGCCTAAATTCACCATATTATAATGACTAGGCCAATGATCTAATCTAGTTCTCATTCCAAATCCATTATCTTTTCTTAGGTACTACTTACCTTTGCTTTACCTTCCCTAAATCAACTCTTTAGAATGTGGCTTTAGTATTTTGTTTTTAAAGCATAAACATACTTCATTTCAAATGTAGGTAGATACTAAAACTCAGTAATTTTTCTTAATCTCTCACTTTCTCCTTCATGTCACTACCCTGCTCTGATAGAATAAATATTGGAGAAAGAACAGTATTACAAATTAGTTTAGTTTTTCATGTTCAATAAAAGCTTACTGTAAAGTTCAAAACTAAATTCTTGTTGTGTCAGATCCTTGCTAGTTTGCTTTTAAACAAGCTTGTATAATTATCTTCTACCTACTTTAAATTGGCTATAGTTATTCAAAAGGAGTCTTATTACTTACTATATGTAATTTCAAATTAAGGGTATTTCTAAAAGTGCAGATTTTCATTAGCAAATTAGAGATACCATTGCCTGAAAGCAGTGAACTTATTTGCTCTTATGTTCCTAGTGCCAGTGCCTAGCATAGTCTCTGGATATCTGGCATTCAGTAGATGCTCAGGAAATGTTCATTGCATGCAGTGATTGGATGGATGGATAGAAAGATGAAAGTGTTACCTTCTTCATTTGTTCTGCAAGTAGAATATTAGTACATTATTTGGCTTCCCTTATATATTTTATAGCATCAAAAGTTTTAACAAGTTATAATAACAGGATTATTGCTCTTGTCTCTGTCTATCTGTATATTTATATCTAAATCAGACTATTCTACGGAGTTCAAGACAAGCCTGGCAACATAGCAAGAGCTTGTCTATTCAAAAAACTTACAGATTTGACAGGCATGGTGGTGTGCTTCTGTAGTCCATCCTAGCTCCTCCAGAGGCTGTGGCAGGAGGATTGCATGAGCCCAGGAGTTAGATAGTGCAGTGAGATGTGATCATGCCACTGCACTGTAGCCTAGATCACAGAGCAAGACCCTGTCTCTTAAAAAAAAATAGTAAATAAATACATGATTAATCAATCAATCAAACTGTTCTGGATATTAGGTTATGCTGATCTTCTAGTATACTTTAAACTACTTCACTAGTAATACTTTACTAGTTTGCAGTATGCATCCATTGTGTCTCTTGATTTTCAAAACAGTAGCCTTTCAAAACAAATGTCTTGTATTAGAGTACAGACTCTGCAGCTGGACTCTTGGGTTTCCAATCTTGCCCCCTCTAGGGAGTCCCTGGTAACTTGTACAAGTGACTTAACTTCTCCAAGTATCAGTTTTTGCTTCTGTAAAACAAATAAAATAATTTTGTTATTTTCATAAGAATGTCATAGAAATTAAATGAGGTAACATAGGTAAAGTTCTTAGCATGTGGCCTGGCTCAAAAAACTTGTAATAATTCACTGTTATCTTAGTTGTAGTAGTAGTAATAGCTTCTTGGTATTACACATCTGCCCTTCGGTACTGTAATTTTCTCCACAGTAAGGACTCTGTTTTGTTTATCTCTACATCCTCCCTTACCATAGGGCCTGTCGTGAATGAGGTAATTCAGCAAATAATTATTGGATTGAATGAAGCAGTCAAATAAATGTTTTCAATCAAAAAGGTGTTTTCCAAGCAACTAAACTTAAGCTCACAGAGGTTACCCGAACTGGTTTTAAACAGCTGCTATAAATCAGTCTCATAGATTATATCATTTAATTTTTAGGCAACTTGGTGAAAGGTTCAAATAAAGCCCCAGGATTCAAACCTACATCTCTGAGTCATGAGATCAGAAACTTTTCCTCAAAATGTTCCTACCTCTTTACAAAATGTGTAAGAATTCTTTGTTGGTCAATTACTAATATATAACTACTTTTTGAGTTATAGGGTGAATTGATTAAGTCTTAATTACTTGCTAGATCTCAAAGAAAATTGTACATAAAAACATTATACTGTTCGCAGAATCTTAGCTTTTGAATTTCTAGAGAAAAAAGGATAGCAGGTAACTGAAGGTAAATACAAAAAAATGAACAAATAAGAGTCTGAACAGATATAGAAAGGGTAGGATAAGTGAGTGCTTTACAAATGAAAGCAGATGTATGAAATTACAAGCTGTCATATCAGCAATGGAAATGAAGATGATAAAGTGGTTCCTTACATAGATTATAATTATTCATTTTGCCCAGTCCTGTCTCCTTTCCCCATAGTGCTCATAGGAGGGGGAGAAGTAGGAAGTTATAGCAAGAAATGATATTCCAACAGCAGAAGAAAAAATAATCTGAAAAACAAAGATATTTATAATTGTGAATAATTGCTTAGTTTTTGATTTGTGTTGTTTCTATTGAATCACAGTTGTTTTCTTATGGAACATTTTTCAAGTAACTGACTAATGAAAAGGCTTCAGTTGCAGCCACAGAAGTTACAACTGTAAAGTTTCTTCTATCAGTGCTGTGGAGGCCGTCAGTGTGGTTCACAAAACAGGCATTGTTAATGGGCCTGCCTGTGACAGCGGTGGCAGATAAGATTGCCAAGAAGTAAAGTAGTTTATATAGACTTGCCTGAAAAGATGTGTTTAATAATTACACCCATAATTAGGTTGATTTGAAAAAACATTAAATGACAGGCTACGGAACACATTTAGACTTATCTATGACAATTTTGACACTTTTCCTCCAAGAAATGCTGCGTAGATATTCTCTCCCTATATCTCTTGTTACCTTTAGAAAAACAAATAATTAGAAGAAATTCTTCTTTCTTTAATGTTGAGTTATATAATATTTACCTATACAAAAGAAAAAAATGTAACAAGTTATAACATAATAATCAAGGCAAATATTATTTAATGAAAATGTTAAACTGATTCTTTTCCATTCATATGGTTTTTATTGCTAATTTCTAAGTAGCAAAACAGGAGACATTTAAACACAGCCATATAAATAGCAGTAAATATGCGTGGTTCTGAGAATTTATGTTGCAGATGTACACGTATCTGTATGTGAAATTCTTCTTTCCAAAACCCCCTGAGGATAAATGCTAATATGTTAGATTGCAGTTAACAATATAATGTGTTTCTTCAAAGGCAATTTAGTAAAGATCCCTTCTTACTACTTCGTTTTATCAAATTAGTTGAGTTATTGGTTTCCTTTCATTGACTCTAAGTTGTTAGTTTTTATGTTCTCTGCAATTCAGAATATCTTAAATAGTATTGCTTCTGAATTATTTTTTTCCTCTTATTTAGTGATCTCTAGTAACTACCAGACCTGTCTCGGCCTTCTGATGCATTACCCACTCATCGGGGATGTACACTCACTGATTCTTAAGGCTCTGTTCCTTAGAGACCCAAAGGTAAGCTTCCCCAGTAGGATATGCATAATTTTAAGTTGGGTGAAAAATAGGCTTCTCTGTGAGAGTCCAAGAATTCAGAATGTGGAATTTGCCTAATGGCAGATAAATTGCCTAATGATAGTATTTGCCTAAAGTTGTAGCCCAAAACACTCATTGGCCAGCAACTCAGCAGGCAAATTAAATGGACATTGCCATGAGAAACTGGAGCTAATGTCCTTTTCCCACAGAAGGTTCTTCTTCCCTTTTGCCTTCCTCACAAGTTAAGGAAATCACTGAGGAACTGCCTCTCCTTATAGCCAAACTGTATTATCATTGGTACCCCACACAGGGGTTGATTTGTCCAAGAAGAACCTTGGGGGCCATATGAAGATCAAGAAAGTAGATTTATACAAAAGACCAGTTCTGTAAGAGCAGATACAATGAAACACTAAATTATTTGACATTATGATTTGTATTAATATTTCTTATTTGGGGGGTTAAGCATAATCTAATAAAATAAAGATTCAAACAGACTTTAACACTGATTTCTCTATTTGAGCGTAAAACGATTCACCAAAATTTTCTTTACACTTCAGAGAAAAAGTGTGCTCTTTTACAACTAATGTTATATTTCTTGAAAATAAGAACATTTAATGATCTAAAAAAATCTGTGAATCCTTGCTACTTTTGAGCCAAACAAAAATATTGGAAGAAGTATAAGAGAGAAAGCTTCAAACACGAATATCAGAATGCCAGGCATTGGATGGTAATCCCAGCCTTTGGCTCTTTGGCAACCCTCCCAACAGTCATGTTGGCAGTTGTCGAACTGTCTCTGAGTCAGTCAGTCTGTCTGTGGGTTCCATTGCCAAAGCTCTGTCTGATCAACTTGGGCCTCCAAGTTTAATGTAAATTTAGATTCAAAGGATTTCTGTCCTTTCCTTGGTTGTTGACTTCAACCTTTTAGTATATCCTTTATTCTCTGATTGACTTAAAAGAATTTACTTCCTTATACCTATATCTGTTCTGTAAAGTTATGAACTTTCATATCATTTCTCTTACACAAAGCAGTTTCATTAAGCATCAGAAATATAATCCATTATTTCTCTGATGCATAAGGAAGCATACTTTTTTCTGGTAAGGCTTATGAATCTGACTATGAAAATTGAAAGTTCCATATTTATATTTTATGTACATATGTATTTGTAAGTTACTGACTATATACTCCCTACCCCCCCCCAAAAACCCACAAGATGACAAAATATCTGTAAAATAAGACTAAAGAATGAGGTTGCCGGTCAATGAGGTATGAGTTTTGATCTTTAAACTTAGGCAAATTCCATCAGCTTAGCATTAGGAATTTTTAGAATGATAGAGAGTGGAAAACATTGCTAAAATAGCAATGTGAATTTTCTGCTTGCATGATTTGTTCGTTTTAATTGAAGGAAGAAATGAATATGTTATCAAAACTTATCGATCTGGGTAATTTTTCCCTAGCTAGATGTGGTTGATATATCTGTGAATCACTCACTCATTCAGCTTCAGAATTCTTTATTGTAAGTTCATTAGTGTTCATTAGTGGAACCTAAATGCCCTTTCATGTTAGTATGGTTTTGATGAAGTACTTGCAATCTCAATATGTCATGCATGTATATTGAAGCAAATTCTACAGGTATTAAAATACAGATTCTTTAAGGTTTAAGAGAAAAAAATAATAGTGTATCTAAAAAAAGGGAATCCACCCCCTTTATATTCAGAGTCTTTCCAAGCAAAAACATGATTAATACAGTTACCTTAAACTGGTATTCCTGAGACATAAAAAATTAGGCATGATGAGGGACTCAAGTTTAAAAGGCTCAGTAGAACAAGTTCATGGAATGATGATATCTATAGGAAAAGTACAAAAAGCTGTGCAGCCCTTAAGGGGCCTTCAGATGGCTAACCCAGCAAAGTGGTAGACATAGTTAAGTGTGTATATGGCTGACCCATTGATATCATTTTACAGATTTTAAGTAATAACTAAAGTCACTTGACACATGTGTTAATATGGGTCTGTGGCAGTGTAGTGTTCTACAAGGAACCTGAATTAGGAATTGGGACCTTGGGTTAAACTTCGGTTCTACTTCCAACATCTTCATTATTTTGGAAAAACCATGCTTGCTGACCATTGGGCTTCTCTTTTGTAATATTTGGAAGTTGAATTAAATTGTCTCTGATGATCTGCTTAAGCAAAACATCCTTTATCTTTGAAGAACTTTCTTTCTTTCTTTTTTTTTTTTTGAGACAGCGTCTCACTCTGTTGCCCAGGCTGGAGTGGAGTGGCACAATCTCAGCTCACTGCAACCTCCACCTTCTGGGTTCAAGTGATTCTCCTATCTCAGCCTCCTGATTATCTGGGACTACAGGCACCCACCACCACACCCAGCTAATTTTTGTTTTTTTTAGTAGAGGTAAGGTTTTACCATGTTGGCCAGGATGGTGAAGACCTGACTTCTAATTAACACAGGATCTCTCTGTTATTCTGCCAGCTGAGGACCTCCACAGCTGGTGACATTCCTGCCCAGAGCCTCAGCCCTGGGGCCTGCTGCAAGAGGTGCCCCATCTACTTGGCCCACTGGGCCATGCCTGGCTTGTACACCAGCCCAGGTCCTGTGGCAGCTGTGACTTTGTGCTCAGCTGCCCATGGGAGGGGGTACATGAGCAAGTGAATGCAGGGTCCAGCCAGCCATTCTGAGTGCCAGCACAGACATGGGCTCCATGCAGGGCTTTCAGCTGGACCAGGTGTGTCACAAGCCACTGCCATGGTAGACTCTGGCAGGGGAGGGGAACACAGTGGTGCCCAGGCAGGGGTGCCTACAAGCCTGAAACCCCAAAGGGGATGTTACAGCATGCTGATTAGTTTTTTTAGTCCCACTGTCCATGGCCCAGTGGACAGTGGCATGTTAACAACTCTGTCAGCCCTTTCCCTCACTCTGACCCATGGCTCCAGGGCTAATTCAGCCTTGATACTGCTTCCCTTCACATGGGGTGGCTGCCCTCTGCCAGCGGAGGGCAGAGGACCACAGTTGTTAAGCATTTGGTGTACGCACATTCAGTGGATCCCTAGTTCTGGTCCTGCATCCAAGAACAAGATCATGCTGACAATTGAAGGGTGGGGAGGGCAGAGAAAAATTTTATTGAGTGATGAAACAGCTCTCAGTGGAGAGGGGATGCAAGGGTGTTCCCCTGCCCAAAGTTGGGTGGTTTTTCTCTTTGTGGGTGGGTCTGAGGCTTTTATGGGCTCAGAATGGTGAATGCTTGCTGATTGGTTTGTGAGTATGCAAAAAAAAAAAAAAGAAAGGGGTAAAAGGTACCAATCAAAGGTGGGCACAACAGTGTAAAAAAACCAATTAGGAAAGGATAGGTGTATGTAAAATAGGTAAAGGGTGGGGATCAATCAGAGAAAAGTATGCCAAACAGGAAGACATGTTCTCAAACCGGTCCATGGATTTACCCTGGGACTTGTAGCTAGGCTTTAAACTGATTTTGACTTGAAGAATCCTGTCTACCTAGGATTCTTCTGCTTCCTGCCACTATTACAGTGAACTAACAAGGTCCAATCCAGTGCTGCAAAAGTGAAGTGAGAAAAATAGCAAGTTTATTTATGTTATAGAAATCCACAAGTGGACAGAGTTTTCAGTGTTGTTCATGTCAGTTATAAAGTCATAAAAGAAGCCATTTATGCTAAGGGGGAAAACAGAGGGAAAGATAGTACTGGTACCCCTGCCTATAGCCACTAGAACTTCAGACATCGTAGTGCTTTAAATGTTTTCTATTGATAGCAACAGTGAAACACTAAAAATACTTTAATCATTCCTGAGTCTCATAGGTCAGAGTAAGTATATAAACACACAATTCTCAATGAAATTAACTAGTAGAAAGAGATTTGAAACATGAAAGCACACTTTCCCATATCCTAGTTTCATATGACAGTAGTGTTGAATGCTGCTAACATATTCAATAAAATAAAAATAATAAACTCCGAGCCTTAGTAGGCTCATTGTCAACCTTCAGAAAAGCAGTTTGTCCTACCATCATCCCTAAATTGCTCAGTTGAGAATACATTTTGCAAGTATAGCTTGAGACATCAGGTTCTAATTGTTTTATATCAAAGATAGATTTTACTGTGGAAAGATTTTTTTATTTGAATAGACTGAAGAAAGTAGGCCTAAAAACTGTAATAATAGGATGATGTTCCTTCATTGTTTTCCAACCACTCTGACATTAACCAACAACTCTATAAGGTAGGTAGAGTAGGTTATCTTTCCTCACTCTTTTCAGTAGGGAAAGGTTATGTTTACGTGGCTTTCCCAAGTTCAAAACGCTTGTAAGCTTCCAAGCTAGCTAGAGTGGCATCATGACTGTTCTATCTATTCATTCCCTCCTCAGATTTCTGGCGTGTGTTCTACGTTCCTCATGAAAAAGTTTTCAGGTTCAGATAGGACATGCCCTCCCCTTTGAGTCCCCATGGTACCTTGTATTTTATCTGTATGGATGTGTGTTTTGTCAGTTTTAGGACTGGATCCTGCTCATTTATTAGCACTCAGCTTTGTGTCCTGCATATCTTGGTATAAAGAAAGTGATGATAGAGTTGATTTCTGATTCAAACGCTATGCCTCATTCCAGTTTACCACACTGACTCTAATATAGTTGGATGTCACTCATCTAGCGTATTTCTGGAACCCATGTTCACATTTCCACAAAAGCATAGTCAATGGTATATTTTTCAGCTGCCATTTTTATCAAGATAGTGACTTAATTAAACAACTTTAACTTAAAGAGCATCTAGTTCTTAATTTGTTACATATCAGAATTATTTAAAATCCTATTACAAACTTCATATATTATGAAATACAGAAGACATAGCAAAGAATCATTTAATTTACTTGACTTAGGCTGTCAGAGTTTTAGAACTACAAAGAATATAGACAGCCTTATCCAACTTTCTTCTTTCATAGGTAAAAAAGTCAGAATAAAGATGACGC